GAGGGCGGGGCCAGCCGGGGCCGGGGCAGCCGTCGGAGGCCCCCCCAGCCCCCGAGCCTCCGCGCGGCTGCCTCCACCTTCGTCCTCTGCAGGCTGCAGAGCAGGCGAAGAGCTGGTGAAAATATCCACCCTGTACCCCGAGGACATCAACGCCATGCAGATATCCTTTGCCGCGTTGCGGCCTGGGCGGAACAGCTTGGTGGGGGGGTTCAGAGCCACCCGCGGCTGCGGAGGGGCAGGGGGGCGACGGCAGAGCTGCGATTTAAACGACAGACCTGCGGGTCTGTGCCAAAGTGCCAAAGCTGGCGCTTTGCTACCACTAAAGCCACTCAGCGGAGCTGGAACAAATCCAGACATCGCTGCCCGCGGTACACCAGGGTGCGAGCCCCACGCAGGCCCGCTCGGAGCAGGTCTCCCACGTGTCGTGGCGTCCCCCTGCCTGTTTTTCTCCTTCACGGGCCCCGCACAGATTCCAGGTGGAGGAGACGGTGCTGGATAAGCTGAAGATCACCTTTGAGAACAGCACGGACTTCTTCGGGCGGATCGTGGTGTACCACCTCGGGGTGCTGGGGGAGCGGCTCTAGGGCAGCGGCGAGGGACAGCGTGGGGCCGCTCCCCCCTCACCTGCGTTCCCCCGCAGGGGCTGCGCTGCGCGGGGCGGACGGGACAGCAAACCCTGCCGGCGGGGACGTGCTGCCCCCCCTTGCACCCCGAGGCGCTGGAGGGAACCCCTGCCCCATGGGATGGCAGTGATGGAGGGACACCGGTGCCGAGATCCACGTGCTGGAGCCTTTGGGGGGACGCAGCCTGCGTAACCGGCTGAATAAATGGTGTCCCCGCTCCTTCCTGGCTGCTCCTTGGGCAAGCGGCACCCCGGGAGCGAGCCCTCCGGGGTTTGCCGTGGCCATGCCGGCGCGTGGCTTGAGCAGGCAAGAGGAGAAGTGCCCCCTCCGTGTGCTGTGGGCTCTGGCTGTCTCTCGCCTTTGCTGCCCACCCCTGAACTTCTTGGAGCGGCTCTTTGCAGCCTCGCGGGGCTCCGGCTCGGGATCGCGGTGTGCCGGCTGTCGGCCGGGGCCGTGCTGTGGTCCCGGCTGGCAGGGTGACGCTTCCCGCGGGGTTTTGCTCCTGCCTGTGGGTATTTCCCTGGCTGGTTATAGCACTGCATGCAGGGAGGGCTTGGCAAGTTCATGGGCATAAGAGGGAGCTTCCCTCCAGAGACAGCTCTGGAGAGGAATACCAGGGCACTGGGGGGGCGCAGGCCTTGAAGAGGGTGCTTGGCCCAGTTCCCCTCGCAGTTCCCCAGTAGCTGTTGCTGGGATTGGGGACTGGCAGTGGTGACAGGCTGAGGCAATGGACAGGGCTCCACACGGCTACTTTAGAGTTTATTTCCAACAATGCCATACCTGAACGCACACGCGCATGAAGCAGCCGAGCCCGGACAGGGCAGAAATGCAGCTGCCCTGAGGAATGAGCGTCCCCGGGTGCGAGGCACCGGGGCCATGCCCCGCTCCGGCAGAGGCACAGCTCCACCGAGGGCAGGCAGTTCCCGGCTCCCTCCGCGTGCTCCTTGCTTGAAGCATCGCGCCGCTGCCCGTTTCGGGACGGCTGGGTGAAGCCGCATTGGTCCCAGAGGAGAGCCCTGCGTCGGCCGGGAGAAGCGCTGGTGCTGCAGCAGTGCAGCGCGAGCCGCCGCGTCACTCCAGCTCCTTTTTCTGAAATAGCTTGAGGATGTGATTTTCGATAACCTGTTGGACTAACGAGGGGAGAGAAGTGAAACCCAGGGAAGCCAAGCCTGCGAGAAGCCAGTACTGCTGTGGGCAGGACCCGATCACCATTTTGCTCCTGTTTCCCAGTGGAAGGCTGGAAAACCCCTTTCTCCCGGGGCCTCTCCCCATCTCCCCTGTCCCAGCCCTGTCTCCAGCACAGCTCTGGTTTGGAGGGCGAGCAAGGGGAACAGGACCCATCTCGATTTCTCCGGGACGGTTTCTCTGCATGGCAGAGCAGGGAGCTGTGGTGGAAGGTCAAGAAAAGCCTGGAGCAAGGCTGGAAGCTGGGAATTGCCTGGAGGCTTTTTGGGGAGAGAAGGCAGGGCTCCCGGCCAGGCACGGCGGGGACACTTGCCTTTCTTGTGTCCCAGGGCCACGGCCAGATCCATCGGGGTGTAGCCAGAATCTGCCTCCGTCGTCAGGTCGGCGCCGCGAGCTGCAAGCAGGCAGCGGAGATCAGGGCACGGCGCTCCCCTGCCGATGTGGCATCCCCTCCGAGTCAGGCACAGGGCGAGGGGACCCCCAAAAGGTGCCCGTCCTGGCTGGGCAGCCCCCCGTGACACCCCCAGGCTGCTCAGCGTCTCCCCCCAGGCGTGTCACGCTCTCTCCCCGAGGCGGTTACCAACGAGCAGCGATTCGAGGCCAAGGACTAAGTGCAGATCTTCCCCGTTACCTAGTAGGGCCTCGACACACTTGACGTGATTGCCGCGCACGGCGTAGAGCAGAGGAGTGCCGCCGTTCTGCAGGGAAAGGGAAGGCGCCGTGTCATTGCCGGCCTCGCGCGGGGCCGTGCTCACGCAGCCCCTGCTTCTCCCGGAGCAGTAGGTCCCCGACCCACTGGGATCCCCTTTCCGCCCTCTCCCAGCCCCAGGCTGGGTGTTTTCTCGCAGAATGGCTCTGCGCAGGTTTTATTCTCTGTATGCAATACAATAACTTTTAAATTGTGTAATTTTAAAGACAACCTTAGGTTCTGAGCGCTGTTTCCTTGTGGCTGGTAACATCACCAGTGTGAACAACTGAGGAAACCATTTTAAATTATTATCCAGATTAATTTCTCAAAACAACTGCGTGAGCAGGCAAACGAGAGCTGCGAGCCTGGGAAGCATCTAGGAGAAAGGCATGGCTGCTAACTCAGCCCAGAACGATGTGAACTCGCTGCTGCTTTTTAAAATGAGCTTTGCGGAGCCCCGGCCGGGGCTTGGTGTGGCTCGCAGTGCTGGCGCGGTCCCCGCAGCGGCCTGCGCCCGGCAGCACTCACCCAGTCATAGATGTTGATGTCCACGTTCCTCTCCAGCAGCATGATGACGATGTCAGTGTAGCCGCCCATGCTGGCCAGGGACAGGGCGCTCTCCCGCTCCTTCGCCAGCGCGTGGGGGTCAGCGCCCTGGGGAGGGCACAGGCGTTAGCCCCGAGGGGCGAAGGAGCCCTGCTGAGAGCTGGGGCGCTCAGCACAGCCTTGCTGCGTACCCCAGGGGGGCTGAACGGAGCCAGGTTCCAACACCCTGCTGGGGCAGAGGCAGCTCGCGCGTTCCCAGTGACCTCTCCTTACCAAAGTCCTTACCGGGCATATTTTAATCATCATCAGACAGCTCAGGTGAGGGCTTAAAAGCCCTTCTCCGGTGTCAGTAAACTAAGCCCGATGGCTCCCGGTACCCAGCCCTTTTTCCCAGCATCAGTAGCAGTGTTACCAGCCCTGTCTAGGAGCCCGTACAGCATCCGCCGTCTCTTTTGTTACCGATTTACCTAGAAAACCTCACCATCCTCCAAGCCCTGCCAGCCACGGACCTCTCCTGGACTTCACTATAGCCTTTATCAATGGATCACCCCGTTTATTTTGCGTTCTGCTTGTCTCTGGTAATGCAGTGCAATTTTGCTGCTAAGACAGGAACAGAGCCGGAGTTTGGCCAGTGCTTGCGTGGCGTGAGGGCTCGCTGGTCACCGGACACACGCGGATGTGGGACTGAGCTTTGGGGAGCGGCTTGCTCCAGCGTGCAGGAGGATCTGGTGCCTGCTCACCCCCAGACAGCCCTCGACTGCAAGCCCGGCACTCAAGGACGATGCAGCAATGAGTTCATTAACTGCAACGATACCTCGGCGAGCGCATTTGCTGGCAGATTACAGGGCCCAAGTGATAAGCCTGATCTCAAATTACCAATAAGCAGATATTTAATTACAAACAGTTATTGCTAGCTGTGAGATAAGGCTCTTCATGCTCCTGACTTAGCTCACGACCCAATGGGGAGTAGCATCTGACGGCGTCTGAGCCGTTTGCTCTGCAAACGTGTCCTCTTTGGTGCCATGGGAAAGACTGGCTGAGATGGTACCAGGACGGTGCTGGACAATTTGGCAGCCACCAGGATTGGAGCTGGGACGTCTCCTGTTAACAAGGTGCTGCGCGAGCGTGGCCTTACCCATTCCAGCAGGTGACGGACTGTTTCGATCTCTCCAAAGGCTGCAGCCCAGATCAGCGGCGTGAAACCTCTCTCATCAGGTTTATTTACCAAGTTCTCACCTGCACAAACATGGATGAGACATCCTAAACAGGAAGGGTAAAGCCCCCTCTGCTCCCTGTCCCCCCAGTAAACCCAACAAAGGCTGTAAAACGAAGCCAAGGGTTTATCAAAAGGCGTGCTATGACCTGGCAGGACTCTGCGTGATCTGGGGTTAGAACCCAAAGGAAGAGGCGTGTACCTTTCTGAAGGTGCTCTTTCAGCTGGCTGAGCTCTCCTTGGGCAGCAAGCTGGTGGATGGACAGCGCTGGGGGACAGAAAGAATTCACCCATCAGGACAAACTTTCCCCAGCTCAGCACCCACCGTCTTAGGCGGGTCCCTGCAAGTCCGGGGTGGTGGTGACTGGACAGCCCCTGTCTGAGCCCCCAAAAACCCGATGGGTGACTAACACCCTTCTGCCGCAGAGCGGCGGGGACAGCCAGCCACGGTGAGCGCTGAGAGCAACAGCACTGCAGGGAGCAGCCTGAGAGAGCACCCCGGCAGGCGCTGAACGGGGTGGCAGCAGGAGACGGAGGGCAGCTCCAGCCCCACTGTCCCTCTTGCTCCCTCTACACCCCGTACGCATCCGCGCTCTGGGATGCACGGCCCGCTCTGCCCGGCGGTACTCACTGTCCAGCGTGGCCGGGAGGGCCGAGACCTCGTTGCCTCGCTGCCTGTTGGTCAGCGTGTTCGAGTGCTTCAGGGGGAAGCCTGTTCCAGAGAGAGAAGAGAGTCAGAGCACGTCTCCTCCATGCACAGGGAGGAACTCCGCTGACTTGAGGCCAAGAACCTCGTGAAAGCTCAGCTCTCATGTGCCTTATCTGAAGCTGTTCCCTCCTGTCCCTGGCAAAAACTGAGTCCTGCAAAAAAGGAATTATTCCCTTGCAAGTAAAAAGCCTGGAGACTGAGGTCTGACCAGTGTGCAGGGACCAACAGCTGAGCAGGGAAGATGAAACAGCCCGAACAGCTGCCCAAGGAGGGGCAGGGTCCATCTGGGGCACTGCGGGAGGCAGGGATCTGGCATTAATGGCATAATTGCAAACGGTATACTGTGGAGGATGGCCTGGGGGATGCACTCAAGTTCATCCTCATATTTCCTACCCTTCAAGAGCTCCACTTGGACATCTCAATGTGTTTTCAACAAGCAATTTGTAGTTTAATTAGGAAAGTATATGGAAAGAGTTTGCCATCTCCGATTCCACTGCATGGAGCTGCAGCGACCTCTCACTGCTGGCATGAGTCATCAGCAAGGTCTGGATTTGGACTTGGCCTTGCCACGTTATGGGAGGGACCGGCAGCAGTAAAAGATTCTTTTCTAGCTGCCTTTGTGGGATGAGAGATGCAGGTGACCTCTCCCACGCCTGTCTCCCACCGGGGCTGTGCCTGAGCATCTGTGAGCACCAGGCTCTGCAACACTCACTGTCAAGGGCCGAGAGCTCGGTGCTCCTCTGCCTGTCCATCAAGGCAATCGAGGGCTTCGGGAGAGCGTCTGCTCTACCTGCAAAACAAGGGCGGCCGTTAGGGACCTCAGTTCCACTTGTTGGGGAGCAGGCTGGGCTCCACACGCGGCACAATGAGACCTAACTGGCACGGCAAGCACCCCGCGTGCACCCCGACCCCAGGGCGGAGGGCAGGTTGATCCCAGTTTACGGGGAGACAGACGCTGCAGGACCCCAGGTCTGCGCGTGTCCCGTCTCAACTCCCACCACCCTGTCACCCCCAGCACTCACCGTCCCCGTGGTCCAAGCGTGGCATGTCCTGTTCCGGCCACAGACGCCCCGGGGGGGCCCCGCTGTCCCCCGTGTCCCTGGTCACAGCCAGCTCTTCTGTGGCTGCTGCTCCCTCGGCTCCGTATTCACCCTCTTTCGGGAGCTCCTGGGCGTCCCCGTTGTTCGGGGGGGTCTCCACGAGACGAGCGACTGCTCCTTCACCTTCCATGGGGCAGCTGCCACACAACAACGCGTTAAGAAGGGGGAAAAAGTGGGGACGCCCCCGGGATGGAGAGGGCAGCAGCGGGGAGGCTGCTGAGTCCCTGAGCACCAAGTGCTTGCGGCCACCAAACTCCTCCACACCGCCAGCGCAGTTTGGGGTCCCGCTTGCCCTCTCCGGCCAGGCTCCCCGCGCTGCCGGTGGACAAAAGCTCCCGTCACAGCAGCTTTGCGAAGCTGCACCGGCTCCGTCTCCGAACGGCTCGTCCGAGCACGACCGCCTTCCT